AATGTTTTTGGAAAACATAATTATTGCCAACAAAGTGGGCTCACTTTACAGGAAGGATACGATGCTGCATATTAAAAACTACATCTCAAAACACTAAATAACTTGAAAAAAACATGGTAGGATACAATTTGCTTACTCTCTATGTGAGTTTGCTTCTCACAGGTCTTATTATAAAAAGCTTCTATCAAAGGAAGGAGATGAAAGGCTTTATCCTATAGAGCAAAAAAAGGTCTTCTTTAATGAAAGAGAAGAAGAAAAGCACACACACATTAGCACGAGTTTCGAGCGCATCAGCAATTTAACGAGGCTCAGTAAGTGTATCCCTTCACAAACATACCCTTCTTGGCCTCATCGCTTTCACCATCGTCAGTGTACTTACCGAGCTGAGCGAGGGAGTTCGCCTCCGCACGCACCAGAAGTGCTTTCTGTGCAGCCTCCACGTTTTCGGGGTTTCCTTGCCATGTCTTGAGCACAGTGTTCTGCAACGCACGGGCGTAAGAGAAGGATACATGCCACGGGTTGGGGCTTTGGTTCATTGCATTCAGGTTCAATGTCGCTTCCACTTCAGACTGTCCTCCAGACAAAAACTGCACACAAAATGAAGGATTTTCATTGTTCTATATCTGACTTAAAATCAGTTTTTACAAAGGAAACTTCAACAATCTATATGCTGAAACCTAATATCCTTTTTAAACATGCACTTTGCTCGGGGAGTATTTTTGTAACAGCCCAAACCCACCGCTAGCAGATATTGTCCTCTTTAGACTTTTTCCTTTCGGGCTTCTCCTCAAGGTTTTTAAAAAGCATCTGCTAAGGAGAGGTTTCTACACCCTTTATAAGGATGTTTCGTTCTCCTCCCTAACCGACGTGGGATCTCACAATAAAGTTAAGAACATTTTACCATTAAATATTCTTAACAGTCATGAGATCTTGCCCAGTCAATTAAAATTCAACCAATAAACACACCAACCAAACTACAATACGAAGATGAAACCATCAACAGTTTCTATAGCAGAACAAAATGTAGAGTGACATGTATAATACCACTGTGAGCATAGAAAAATTACGGACGCCATTCAACATCGAAAACAAGTTCAATTATTCATACCATGATTCCAGGAACTGCAGGAGGAACTCTTCTCCTGAGCATCTTTAGTGTGTATTTAGCAATAGTTTCAGGAGAGGCCTTCTCCTTGTGTTCGGCGCCCGGCGTTACCATGCTAGGCTTTAGAAGGATTCCTTCGAACAGAACATTGTTTTCAGCCAAATAGAAGAATACTTCTGACCAGACCTTTTCAGCCACTTCAAGTGTCCTGTCAATGGAATGGTCCCCATCAAGAAGGATCTCAGGTTCTACAATAGGTACAAGCCCATTGTCCTGCAGTAACACAGAGATAGAAGAAAAGAATCTTCTTGTAATGAAAAATCTCTTCAAATATATGATCCTGTAATATTTATAAACAAGTTCATAGAACAACCGTATACCTGAGAAATGGCAGCATATCGAGCAAGGCCCCAAGCAGCTTCCTTAACAGCCAGAGCAGAAGGACCACAAGGAATGCTAACAACCGTCCGCCTGTACGTTTCATATGATTTAGATTTTACGTAACTAACCGAACAAAACAGGTTAGAAGAGAAAACCACCCTCCTATATAAGAGGGTCTTTGTTCTTTCAGAAACAAAGAACATGCCGACTTACCACTTAGCAAAACGAGCACCTTGCTTATAATATTCAGCCGATCTTGAGGCCAGTCCGTCTAAGCCTTGACACCAGGATTCATTGTTGGATCCTGGCAGAGGAACCAAACCCTGAAATCCACACAATATAAATACTCAGAAGCTTCATACAGTCGAGACACTTTGTAACAGCAATCGAAAATAAATTCTTTGGTGTGTATTGAAAGGTAAGAGGACAATTCACCTTGTCAACTTTAATACCAGGCATAATCTTTGCCTCTCGCAAGCAATCGACAAATTTCTTTCCATCTGTGGTCGATTGGTAGAGTGTTTCCTCGAAAAGAATAGCACCAGATATGTACTGACCCAAACCCGGTGTGGTTAGCAAAAGCTGTCGGTATGCTTGTCTGTTGGTTTCAGTATTGTCCAAGCCAATGGATGCTAACCTCTTCCCACATGTTGCATTAGATTCATCAATAGCAAGAATACCACGTCCAGGAGATGCTACTGATTTCTGCAAACCAAGGAAATGAACAAAGTACTAACTTAATGCAAGGAATCCAACCTAGTTAAGACGCAGTGCCATTACAAAATACAAAGGTGGTTTTGCCATTCTTAAACATCATAACAAATGGTTTCAAGCATATAATAATGTGAGATCCCACATCAATTGGGGAGGAGAACGAAGCATCCTTTATAAGGGTGTGAAAATCTCTCCCTAGAAAACGCGTTTTAAAACCTTAAGAGGAAGCTGAAAAGGGAAAGCCCCAAGAAGGCAGTATCTACTAGCGGTGGACTTTGGCTGTTACAAATGGTATTAGAGCTAGACACTAAGCGATGTGCCAGTGAGGAGGCTGAGCCCCGAAGGGGGTGGACATGAGGCGGTGTGCCAACTAAGACGTTAGCCCCGAAGGGGGTGGATTGGAGAGTCCCACATCGATTAGAGAAGGGAACAAGTGCCAGCAAGGACGCAGGGCCCCGAAGGGGGTGGACATGAGGCGGTGTGCAAACTAAGACATTAACCCCGAAGGGGGTGGATTGGAGAGTCCCACATCGATTAGAGAAGGGAACAAGTGCCAGCAAGGACGCAGGGCCCCGAAGGGGGTGGATTGTGAGATCCCACATCGGTTGGGGAGGAGAAAGAAGCATCCTTTATAAGGGTGTGGAAGCCTCTCCCTAGCCGAGGCGTTTTAAAAACCTCGAAGGGAAGCCCGAAAGGAGAAGCCCAAAGAGGACAAATAAACTCAGATAGAGACGAACACCTGTTTCTTATTAAACATTCATAATTCATGAGATATAAAACATTGATCTAGTAGTATATTCACATTAAAAAGGGAAGGAGGGGGGCCTGTCCAGAGATGACTTCCTGAAAATCTGTATCTAAATACTCCTTTTTACAAGAATTTATCCGTAGTAAGATCAAACCACAAATCCAGCAAGGTCAGCGTACTGGCAGTCTGCCACTAAGAGCATCGTAACATGATGATCAAACTTATCTCACTAGTGATGAAACAATACCAACAATTGCAAACATGAAACAAAACAAAGTAGCCCGCTATGAAAAGATCGCAGAAAAATCAAGGTCAAAGTCATAGAAAAACAAAAATCGAACCCTCATAAAGACAGGAAAAAGAACCTCCCACGATCGCGAACATTCAGCAATTACATCACGATCAACTCAAAACTCCAATGCATGCAAATCAAATATCAGATCCAAATCCCAACAAAAACAACCCACAAGCCCTCCAATATTAAATCCCCAGGTCAATCGCCCAAACAAACAACGATCTAAAACCAAATACTCACCGCGGTCAGAACAAGCTCATCGGAGTAACCCCCAGCACGGATCGGGACAGAAACACGTCGACCAGAAGACGATCCGCGCCTCTGAGAGAAGGATTGGTGAGCAATCCATTGCGAAGAGGAGGCGTTCAACTTGGTGAAGCTCAGGCAGGCCATGGCTTCTACAACAGGAAGAAGAATTGATGAGGCAAAAAAAAAAAAAACAACCCACAGAATCGAATTGGGTTGTGGGGGTGGTTTTATTGTACAATTTCGGAAAGAAAAATAATAATTGGTTGGTAGTGAGGTGGGTTGGTGGATGGATCGCGGTGAGCGCGATTGACCAAAGTTAGTATTATAAAAAGTGAACAGCAAACGCTTCGTATTGGTAAGTCCGCCGGGGGCGATGATGAGGCGATGCAAGTGAGGCGCTGCCAAACGGTCCCTGTCGATAATTCCTATATTACCAAATTATTGCTTTTCAATCATATGACACAAAATGGTTCGAGGCGGCTACAAGTGATCATATCGTTCCGATACGTTATTAGTTCATTAATATTGATCATAAAATTTGTGCGTTATGGGTCCGTTACAATTTTGATGTGCTACCCTAATTTGTTAACCAAACGTTTAAGTCTCGCATCCATAAAATCTGATTGAATCGAAGCCAATTAAAGTAAATTGAGTTAAATAATTTTCAAGTGATTATCAAAACTTTTGGATTCAATTAAGGAATCTTAATTAATAGGTGATAACATTTAGATCTTTATTACGTGTCCATGAACAAAGTCAGGAGGATTTAAAGATGGTTGCCAAAAACCAAAACCTATTTTGGAGTAAGATTATGTCTTTCTTTCGGGTCCTAAATATTAGGATCTAAGATTGGATTGAGAAGTATCATGCCTACAATCTTGAGCCAGGAGTACATACTTGACGCACGTATGCACACATGAGCCCCAACAACCGAGCTCATATATGAACCCTGGGTCTTGCTGTCAGGCACAACGTATTAGACATCATATAAAAGGAAGGCCTGTATAATATTATGACGAACATAAATATTAAAAGTGGGCTCATATATGTACCCTGAGCTTATTGTCAGACAACGCATTAGACACCATATAAAAGAAGAAAGACCCGCATGATATCATGACCAACATAGATATTGAAAGTTAAAAAATTAGTTTTTTTTTTTTTGTTTTTGAGATATTTTTTAAAAAAATATTTTAAATGGAAATTATATTTTAAAATAAAAGTTCTGACGATCCTGTGTCGTTTCGAGAATTTAAATAAAATCTATAAATTTGATAAAAATTTGGAGGATAATTGGACGAGTAAAAACGTCCACGTAATCGGTTGGGTCCCACATGTACACGTCAGCAACTAACGAAATAGAGCCTAACCCTAACCTGCAACTTTCACCATCTTCGTCTTCTTCCTCTTCATAACCCTAATTTCAATCCACTTCTCACACTCTCATCACAAAACATGCTTCTGTAATTCTTTCTTCAAAGGCATTTGACCTCTACAGATGCGAAGCTATGTCTCTGGAAGCTTCTCTTGAACGACGAAAGCAGCCCCAAGCTCCCGGGACTGGCAATGGAAATGGCGTCGTCTCGCCCAGCTCACACTCTTTCTCAACCCATAGGCTTCGTCTTCAACCCAAGGAAGATCACAAGTCGGAGAGCTATGAGGACCTGCAATTGGAATTCAGCCCGCTCCTCTTCAGCATGCTGGAAAGGCACTTGCCTCCGAGCATGCTCAATATGGCACGCGACCTTAAGCTTCAGTATATGAGGGACATTCTACTCCGATATGCTCCTGAGGGCGAACGCAACCGCGTAAGCGTTTTAAATTGTTTTATCTCTATATCTATGGTGAATTTCATTACATGTTTGCTTGGTTTGGCTGGTGAATGGAGGAGGAGGAAGAGAAGATAGGTTATATTTTCTAGAAATTGTTCTATAGGTTAAAATCAATGATAGCAAATGCCGCATGATCTTATGAATTGTTAGTTGGACGTTGTTTGCAGGCTAAGGATTAAGATTTTTATTTTCATTGTTATGTGATGGTGAATCAGAAGGCGGGAACATAGTTATTTGAACATGTAGATTTGTTAATAGCATGACTAATTGACTTTGATGTTAATATGTCAAGTAAACATGAGGATAGTATTTGTCAAATTTTCTCTTATGCTAGTTAGTCGATGATCTTGATTTCTGACGCAATTTTGATGAAATTAAGGAGGAGGTGTCAATGTTTGTACTTCATTACTCGTTGGGGTTTCTTTCTGTTGGTCTGGGAAGGCAAGGTCTGTTCCTGTATCTTGTTTCTATATTTGATTACTTCCATGTTTCTTGGAAGTATTTCCAGAACAGTGGATTAAATTTTATTTAGACAAAAATGGAGAAAGTATGTGAAGTATGAAGAAAGATAAATATTCCTTCCAAAATCGAAAGCCCCAATAGAGCTTACTAATAGGTGCTCTAGGTAGATGATTAGTAGCAAGGGAATCATTATTGCTAGAAGTTAAGAAGTGAAACATCAAGTGGATGCTGCAAAGCAGAGTCAGTCCTCAAACTCAGTCCAAAGTTCTATATAACTCCCATACATTCTCTCATTTCTTTCAAGCTAAAGGTTCCAAATCAGAGTGTTAGAAACAATGATAACAGTTTGACATGCACAGTAACCCAGCATTGCCCGGAGAGAACTTGGTGAGGAATTCATTCAGAGTTCTTTGGAAACACCCCAGCTACTATCTTAAGAACAGAGAATGATTTCTCCGTTATAAAATGCTTGGGTTTCTAAGTTTTATAAACAGTTTATGAACCGATGTTTTTTTAGTTACAACAATTTAATAAAAGCATGAAATGAATGTTAAAATTTACCAAACATATTTTAAAATACAATTTTTTTTTTATAGAAATGCAAATAATAGGAAATATGGAATGATTTTCAAAAATACTTTAATTTTAAAAAATATTTACTTTTAAAGTATAGAATGGAAAAGAGGAAATATATATAAAGTGTGTGTATTTCTTTCTTCTTTTATTTTATCTTAAAAACAGACCATAAGATAAGAATGATTCACAAAAAACAAATAGTGCTACCCCTTTTTGTTATAATTTTTCTTCCAGATAAGTATCATATTCAACTCGGCTTAATTTTATATCATGATAAATAATGTCCCATGTCCATTTTAGCGCTTTCATGGTTTAAATTTCATACCCTTTTAACTCATATCATTTCAACTCTGTTTTCTCAATTTGGAAGATCTTTTTGCTACTTCCAAACTTGGTGCTTGGATTTTCTTTTCTTTTCTTTTCTTTTCTTTTTGGTTAATCATACCATCTGCGAATTTTAACATAAAAGAACTCTACTTATTCTATATTTTGGATATAAGAAACACGACTTTCACTCAGATCCAATAACAAGAAACAGGAAAGACTGCAATTAAAAGTACATCATGAGCATGAAAATACCTACAGGGTACTTCTTAGCTTGGACTCTAGGTAAACTCCCATGTCCTAACCAACTATTCTGTCTTAGCTCCTGATACATTTTTATTTGAGTGTGGCATTTTGGTGTGTTGCATGCTGGCAAGCTGATTTCACTTCTGCATGTGCCCATTAAGATTCACAATTTTTCAAATACGTTTTCTGTGAACACTCTAACGTGTTTGTTTGTTTGTTATTTTTCTCTAAGCCTTTTCTTCATTTGTAGCTCCTTTTTCTTCATTTCTTTTGTCAGAAAGCAATAATACATCTATTATTTTGTTTGTTTACTTTTGTAGAAATTAGTTCTTTTAGCTTATTTGGTCGGTTAGAAAGGTGATGTGAAGGAAACTGCCTTTGAATGGGCGTCAATCTGTTGCTTATCTGTTGCATTCCAATCACCTTTTTGTCACCTTCATGATGAATTTTGTGCCTAAGAAACACGATCTCTAGGTTTTTTCTTGAGTGCATTTAATTGAATATTATGTTTTCATTCATTATCACTTGACAATAACAAAGAGCATCAGAGTAGCTTTCCAAATAAAGACATCTATATGCCTACTATTGTATAGCTTATTGCATTTGATTTAAAAATCCTTGTCTTTGTAGCTGTAAACTTTGATGCCCTTATGGTCATGAGTGCAGACCTTGATAATTCTGCACCTTGAATATAAAATATCCTGGAGTCTTTTCTTCTCTGACTCTAACATTGTAAGGTTAGGTAGTTATATTGTAAGATGATCAATGCGTGTCTAAATTGGTCTGAACACTTTTCAATTATGATTGCTATTATTATTTTTATTAAAAGGAACTCCAATTTCAAATTCACATCATGATGCAAATGTTATTTACCTTGCATTTACTAAAATGATCCAAACGAGGTGCAACAATGAATGAGTGACACGCATCATACATTAATAAGTTTCCAGATTATATTCATAAATGATGGCGTGATGTGATTGTTGATTATTTATATATTTGTTTCCTTTTGCTTTTCCTTCTGGCTCCTACCATGCGTTGATTGATATTATTGGAATTAGAGAAACATGAAACTTTAAATTTTTAAAAAATAGCCATTGGAAGCTAAATTACTTATTTCATTAACCCATAGAAGTTGTGATGTTTCTATGTATTTTCTTCTTGTGGTGTCCCAAATACTACTTTTCTCATCTGAATTATTCTCTTACCACAATTTCATGCATTTGAATTATCAGATTCAGAGGCATAGAGAATACCGACAAAAGATTATATCAAACTATCAGGTAAATGAAAGCCTTAGCTGTATGTATCTGAGTTAGTCATGCTTAACACTGGTGTAAGAATTTATGGAGTCCATTTTTATATGCTTCAAAATCATCTAATGGCATAATATTTACTTCATAAATTGGAATTTTTGACTTTTGAGTATTTTCAAGGATCAGTTTCCTTGGTTTGTCCTAATGTTACTGGGATCGAATGGAAATTGCCAAAGAAAAAAGAAAAAAAGGAAAAAGAAACAAAAAAGAAAAAAAAGAAAAAAGAAAACTTGCATTTGTTAATATACTTTTTTAACAATTATCTTTAGTAATAAAATTCATAGAAGTTAGATGAGATCTTGATATTTTGTAATGGATCTCCGTTTACATTTTCTTGCTTCAATGAATAGTTACTTACAGTACATCCACAATATATTCCCTTACTAAGTTGCTATCCACTCTTTGCAGCCATTACACAGGGAGCTTTACAGCATGCATGCTGCGAACTTCTTTGTCCCCTCTTTTCTCAAAGCTATCAATGAGAATTCGGAGGAGAGCTTTCGACGCATCATGTCTGAACCCTCTCCAGGAATTTATAAATTTGAAATGCTTCAACCACAATTCTGTGAAAAGCTGTTATCTGAGGTATAATAATTTAAAATTTGTTTGCATGTTTTTTACTTCCCTGAGATTTGATTTTTGCATAATACTATTCGCCTTTCAATTCTTAGGTAGAAAGCTTTGAAAGATGGGTTCACGAGACAAAATTCAGAATCATGCGACCTAACACAATGAACAAATATGGTGCTGTTCTTGATGACTTTGGTTTGGAGACCATGCTTGATAAGTTGATGGATGATTTTATACGTCCTATATCAAGAGGTAACACTTTTGAGTGAAGTACTCCTTGAAAGTTGTTTCATGTAGAATACGAGAGCCATGATTTTTCACATGTTTGTTTTTGGTGTTATGTAGTTTTCTTTCCAGAAGTTGGAGGAGCCACACTGGACTCTCATCATGGTTTTGTTGTTGAATATGGAATTGACAGAGATGTGGAACTTGGTAGGTTTTAGTAGGAACTGTTCATTTTCTTGCTTTCCCTCCTATCAATCCTTTTTTATTAATGTTCATAGGGAGAAAAACATTTTCTTATGAATGGTTTTGTTAAATACAAAATTGTTAGAGATATGGAACATGGTAGTGCTTCCATTAACTTTTTCTCCACTCGCCAATCTCTTGCTTCTTGCTTAATTTTTTTTTTTTGTTAAATTATACCATCTATCCTTGGGCTTTTATTTGTGTCAATTTAATCCTTGTACTTTTTGAAAGTTTTAATTTCATTACTGTAATTAATTTATCCTAAAAGTTCTTATTGTTAACTAGTGGTGTCAAATTGAATGGAAATTTGATAAAGCATTAATGAAAAGCTATGTGGACTTACTTCACACTGTACGTATGTTATGTGATAATGAGGCGGTCTACACTGTTTTCAACCACAATTGACAACAAATGCCGTTGGAATGAATTATAAGGACAACTATAACTATGACGTTGAAACTTTCTTAAGGACAAAGTTGATACAAACGTGAAACTATAGGAACAATGTTATAATTTAACTTACTTCGTTTTTACTTTTAGTTCTCCACTTTTTCCTTTATGGACATATTTTAGTTATTGAAAATGGAGATCCAGTAAATGAATAGATGACATTAGACTTTAAAAGATCAACCGTAATCTGTTCTTTCTCTTGGCTCATTGCTCAAGACGATTGTTTTTGCTGAAATTTCATTTTTGGTCCTTTTGAAATAGTTTCCTATTCATATTTATCTGTAGTTATTGCAATCTGTAAATTTTTGACGTTTTTTGTTTTGTTGCTCGTTTTTTTTTTTTTTATATTTATTTGTTGATATCGAAACTATTAATCAATTTTATTTCAAAATGATTTTACTATAGGTTTTCATGTGGATGATTCGGAAGTCACATTGAATGTTTGTTTGGGTAAACAATTTTCTGGTGGTGAACTGTTCTTTCGCGGCATCCGATGTGACAAGCATGTTAATACGGAGACCCAACCAGAGGTATGATAGTCTTCAGAACACCTTATACCTTTATTTTTGTATTGCTTGTTCCTTCCTTTGTGGTTGGCTTGGCTCATATATTTCAAGCTGCTTATTCAGATCTGACAGTTCTGTGATTGTAAATCTTTAAATTTTCATAAGATTCTTCAAAGATAGATTAGCTTCTTTTGAATCTGCAATCGCATAGATATGAGCTCATTAAAATTAATCATTGATATAAGTCATGAGCTGTTGGGATAATAATACCTTCTTGAAAGCTGCTATTAATATTGAAAAATCCGAACATTTAGGTATATGGGTACATGTAAGCAATAGTACTTCATATGTTTACCAGACGATGCAAATGTGTGAATATACATTATACGATCAATGAGTAGTCATTTCATTTTCAGTAATGCTCCTTGGTGGGTGAATTTTATCGTAACAGTCTCTGTATTAGGAAATCTTTGACTATTTGCATGTTCCTGGACATGCGGTTCTTCACCGTGGTCGTCATCGGCATGGTGCTAGAGCTACAACATCTGGGCGTCGGGTCAACTTACTTTTGTGGTGTAGAAGGTATTCTCTCACTAACTTCGACCTCTGAGTGATTGTTTTTTGTCCAAATAAGAGTAAAAGGATATGATATTTTGTTCAACAACATAGGCACTGATTGGCAGAAAGTGATCATATATATGTATGTATATATGCATGTATGTGTGTGTGTACATATGTATATGAGGTATCACATTGCCCTTTTACATGCCATCCATCCACCGTTTGGGCTGATGCTAAGCACAAAACTTAAGATTAAGAATTAGCTTACATTAGATGAATTGGGTTATGCATACTGCTTTGGTGCTTCCTAGTCAAGTAGTTCGGCCAAGAGCAGCCAATATCACCTTACAAGTAGAATGCTTTCTCATAAAGCACTTTTAAGTGCTCAAGGTGCTGTTGACATTTTCTAAAAACATAATTTTTGTTACTTTGAAACGGTGTTTTTCAGTAGGAAGCATAGTATTATTATGTACATTATAGATGTATATTGGGCTCAGTTGCTTTCCGTGTTTCCTAACCCTTTTTTCCTGAAAAATCTTGTTACAGTTCTGTGTTCAGAGAGTTAAAGAAATATCAGAAAGATTTCTCCAGCTGGTGTGGAGAATGCCAACGTGAGAAGAGAGAAAGGCAACTCCTATCAATTGATGCAACAAAGCAGGTGCGTTTCGTTCTAGCTGAATTGAGTACTACTTTTAAGTTTTTACCTCAAATTCAATCTGGTATATCTATTGTCTCCAGGAGTTACTTAGAAGGGACGTAAAATCTCCCCCTTGAGCCTGCAATGGTGAAAACTATTGTTGAGGAGCTGTAAATTTTACCAAATATGAAGGATGTTCATCAAAACGAAGTCTGCTGTCCTAAAACTTTCGCCATGTGCAGGTAATAGGTGTTGTCCTGTATTATTTATTGTGCTGCATTACATTTTGCAGTTGTAGCTGTACATTTTAAAATGTTGTTGATAGGTGAAAATAGTTGTCAGAAAAATTTAACCAATTAGAAACCCGTTTGTGCCGAATTGGAGTGAACTAACATGTAATCTTAGCTTCTGATACTCCCTATATGTCAAATTGAATATTCTGTTCATAGTGCAGCAAATTTATTACACTGCTCATCAAGTCGGCGACGGCAATGAGATTGGATTAATGTGGCGAAACAAATTTTGGTATTGAGTTTTACTGTTTGGAGGAGTCTTAGTTACTCTTTTTAGCACTCGCACATAAGTATGTGTAGAACTTTTTGAACTTTAGATATCATCTTTGGTTACTTGATTTAGATCCTGATCCCCACCAAGATCGTTGGTGGTCGTTGCTCTTCCTTCTCTCCCAATCTTACAACAAAATCGAGGAAAATTCAAGGAAAACCTCTGAAATAATATCGATATTTGGACCGTGAAGGTACAGTAATGGCTTCGGAATAATTTTGTGTTATTTTTGTAGTCTCAGAAGGGCTTCAAATAGATGGGAGGGAGTTAAGAATCTTCCTTAATATTAAAACTAGGACTCTGTTGCCTGTGTTTTAAAAATTGCCTTTTGAAAGTTTTGATTTATATAGCTCCTAAACATTTACTTATTATGATGCTTGTGAAAATCATTCTCTACAAATTTATGATGTTATGAGCATGAAGAAATTCGTAGGCGACATTCATATTATTGAGTGCTAATCATAGATTTATCAACTTGAATTTTCCTTGGATTGAGATGAGATTAAAATAGGGGCTTCAGCTTTTCATATGAAATTAGATGAAATTATTAACTAAAATATACCATTAACCTTTTCATATGGAATCAGAAAATAATTAGTAGAATGCATAAGCATGTATATTAGGGAACGTAGATTTTCTTCACCAAATCTCCATTATTGGTGCTTACATTCAAACCGTTTAGCATACTTTTCAGACCTCCATTGCTGATCCAAAAAGCTTCCAGTTCTACCAGAAAAAACAATGTCTGCCTTCATTTTTTTCTTTTTAAAGAACAGAACTTCACACGTTGTGGGTTTGCAGGTTGGAGATCGAGGTTTGAGCATAAGGACGCTTCTGGTTGCAGGATCAATCTTCTTCGCCATTGTAGAGAGTAGCTTATGTTATGAGTAGTCGAATAGTAGTGGCTCGAGAAGAGTGCTGCTCGAGGCCTCGTTGCTACTAGAGACCAGGGAATGTCACATGGATCGAAGAGTGTTAGAGTTGCTTTACAAGATCTTAGAACAACGTGTAGCCTCTTGCGAGCAACTTTGTCGGTATCAATGGTCTGTTTTATATATATATGCGACAATGTCAACTAAATATACCGAGTGAGTGAGTGTATATGAGGAATTCATGGAATAGACCTGTCAATAAAAAGTTAAATACTATATTATAAATGTAGGATGATATTATTATTATTATTATTGTGCTTGTGGCTGTGTATGACAAGAAAAAACTTGGTTAATGTGGCAAAGAACAAAGTTTGTGTAAGCAATGTTCTTTTTTTTTTTTTTTTTTTTTTTTATAAGCATGTGTTATTG